GGGGCGCCACGAAGTGAACGAGTACGAGCGATTTATCAGGTCTGCAAAAAGATCATCGATCAACTCAAAAAAGATTTCTTCGATGGAAAGAACATTAATGCATTTTCAGGTTTGAACAGCTTCAATGCGAAACTCGATTCGAAGCACGATCGGTGATGGGTGGAATTTATCGTTACTCAGTTCCTACAGAAAACACAGATACCACTTTATCAGTAATTTCATCGATCGACCGCTAAATATTTCTCTGCGCGTCCAAATAGGGACTGGAGTGTCTTCCTCTACGTACTGAATCCACAGACACAAAGTAGGAAGAACCGTGCGACGCAATAATTACGGAGAGCGAGGGAGAGGCTAAACGTGGAAGAGGCGAATATCTTGGCGGTGCAATCCAAATTCATTATTCGCGTTCCCGCGAGGCGAGGTGCCGCGCGCAGCAGCCTCGAAATGAATTCCGAAAGTGGGACGTACGCTTATTAGAAATTCCTGAATTGTTCCGCGTGCGTGTGTACCCGGTCTATTTGCCCGGTCTAAGTCGACCGGCCCCGGAATTTACAGAGAGCCCCTGGCCAATGGACCAGCTCTAAAGCCAAAATACCGGAGAGATCGTAACGAGAGTCGTTCTCGAGCCGCCTAAGAACCGGCTATATGGCTTTATTAAATGCCGAATTCTGCGTTTCCGCGTTTTACGACCTCGTTCATTCTCGCAGCCTTCTTCGACTCGTTGCACCGTCTAACAATGAACAGCTGTTTCTCGTTGAAATTTGGATCTCAAGGGAATTTGAACTTCTACTAGAATTTCCAGAGGAAATTACAAGTTGGAGGTTGAAATATTTCACATGAAAAATGGATCGCAGTCTTTGTTTGCAGCATTCTCTTCTTTTTTCGAGTGTTGGGAAAAAATTCAAGGAAAAATAATAATTTGTCTGAACATCCAGTTCCTCGAGGACAGGGGATAACAGTTCCCTTAACGTCTCGAACACGACATAGATACATAGAATAGTCTTGTTTCCTGAAAAGACATCCTTAAAAAAGGAACCTCCTTGTTTGCTCTTTTGGTCCTTGGATTCTGACTACAATTCCAGACCGAATTTTTTGATTTTCCTTTGTAGTATTCGAACCACGTATCCTAGTCTCTCTCTCTCTCTCTCTCGAAAACTATCGAGGCGAGAGATGGAAAGTTTGAGAAGAAACGAATAGCACCCGTTCGGGGGGAAAAATTTGACGACGATAATAGGGAGGAAACCCATAATTCACACGGAGAATAACGGCCGTCTGATCTTTCAACCTATCGAATTTTTCACTCATGATTGCCACACTCCGGACTCAATTTTCCACTCCCGCTGTTGCAGCTAAGCGATGATCCGTGAACTGGGAATGTAGACGGAAGGGCGGGAAAAGCGGATCTGCCCCTCGCAGGATCGAAGGAAGGGCTTTTCCTCCACCTCCGCCATCATCTTCACCGTAACCTAACCCTTGAATACCTTCAACCCCCACATCGATTTGGACACTGTAAGTACCGCCACATTTTAACACCTTTTCTTACCCCAATTCCGATCTACTTATCTTTTTATGTACGAAACGAGAAAAGATAAAGAGAGCATCAAGAATCGAACATTGCAGAAACATCATAGACAATAGAGCAGATTGACGACCTAATTGACTAAATTCTTATTCTTCCTCTTTGTTTCTTCTCTGAAAATGATTACTCTCTTCCTCTCATTCGCGTTGTCCACTTTTCCTCGGCCTCGAAAAATGGTTCACTAGCGCCGAATTAGCATTGACGGGGGAAAGAGAGGCATGGAAGTAAGTAACTAATTGGACCGAGGCAAGGAAGCGAATCGAACAGCTCGAAATCAAAGCCGGTCTCTTGTACAGACCGCCGCACGGTCTAATTGGTGCGCTCCGCCGGCCATTCATCGCACCACCAAGGGGATGGAGTCAATTAATCTGGCTTCGTCTCGAAAATGTACACGGTGTCTCAGAGTCGAGGCAATCTTCGAGCAGAGTAAAATTTTCGGTTCGGATCCTACCGTCTATTAAGAATACGTTTCCCAGCGCATTTACACGTTTCGCCTTCCCTTTTCTTCGTTGTTCGTGCCGGTTCAGATTAGCCGTATTAAATCGTACAGAACGATCTGGCTTATTCAGAGGAAAAAGGTTATCGCGTATTTATTCATAAATTACCATAAAGTGGGTAAAAAAAAAACCATTCTCCAGCACTTTTTTTTCTCTCCTGCCCTGTCGACGCACCATACGCGTAATTAATTATCGAACGATCCACTATGCGAAGAGCGAGATTGCCCCGCTCGTGATTTATTCACGTGACCACCATCGTTTCCTGATCTTTACATTAATTCGAATAATCGCTATGCTCTCTCTCTCTCTATTTTTTCTCGCTTTCTTCTTCTAGTTAAAGGGAATTGATATTGACATGGATTTTTAGGCAGCGTGTAATTTCGACAAATAAGCCATACGTCAGATAACAGCAACGACTGATAACGCAATGGCCACGCGCGATAAAACGGAATGAAATCTCCGTATCCAGCGAGTTCCAGGGGGATTATATTTTGCTGGTTTAATCGACCGACTCGATTTCCAGGCGGCCGTGACAAATTTCGGGGCTACATTTCCCGGGATACTCACGGGAATTGCTCGTTACACGGACGCATACGTAATAGAAGAGCATTCGGAGCGTTTATTGACTGATACACAGCTCCGGTGCTATTATCCCGGCTGGCCGGGAATTTATCTCCTGTCTTTTTCACTGCCTCTTCGTTACGAAACGTTCACCTTCTTTTTCTTTTTCTCTTAAGCTCACCACATGCGGAAGATTACGAATGGTATCTCTTTCTAGTCCGTTAATTATGACACGTAGCAAAGATTCTGGTAGAGTTAAGAGAGGCAGACGATAGAAAGCTCGGTCGTATCTATTCTTCGTTCTCGCTACGAGAATACGAGGAGGAAGCAACCGTGTGCCAGACCAGATAGGAGGCCGTTTCTTCGATCCAGTTGGTCGAGAGGAACCTTGATTACCGCGATCCGCGGCATCGAGGATGCTCCATGAACTTTCGAGTGTATCGCAAACTAAGCTGAGGCTGAGCGACGGCTCACGTGAAAAGCGAAAGTAGGTGGATCTTGAGAAACGCGGAAAGAGTATGGTTGTATCGATCAGTTAAGATTAATTGCAGTGCTTGCCAGCTTCGATGTCCACTGTCCCGAAGAAACGGTGTAACTCGAAAAAGAAAGAAAAAAAAGAGAGGAAAGAGAGAGATCCAGGGAACCTTTTTCCGCCTCGTTGTCTTCCGCTCTCCGCTTTCGTACTCAAAGTACACACGCTAATTGAATTTTTTCAGTCGCTCCAGTGTCTTTCTGTACATTATACCTACTACTACGAATTCGAGTAATATCGAGTTGGAGTGGTAGGAAAGAATGGTACGCGAGATTTCCCTACCACGTGGAAAAATGTCACTTCTAATAGTCACCTAGGCTCGTAAATAATCAGTCGTTGTATGATGCTGCTGCTGCCACTGCGACAAGGGGGACAACTAACTTTTTCCATCGGCTCCATTCGCGTCCTCTGGCCTCTGTGTCTGCCTATACCTCGATAGAAAGGCACCTCGCATTCGTAGCTCGAACTTCCTGCTTTTTTAATAACCGAATCACACCCTAGAAAGTGTGACAGTAGTCGTGTTTAATCAACGAAATCCGTCGTACTGTCTCGTTCAGAAAAGCTTGGAAAGTAGGAACCTGTGACTTTACTAACAACCACTTTGTCGTTTCGTTTGCCTGAAAATTTTGGTGAGTAGAACGCTATTAAAATCAGAGAAGAAGAAGAAATGTTTTTTTTAAATAAAAACGTCAATGCTCGTGCATCGATATAGATTCGAGGGAAGAAGATTGTATCGGATATTATTGCTCGCAATATAGAGGAAATGGAGTTTTGACAACAAAAGTAAAAGGGAATCCGTGTTGTAGGTCGCGTTTCAATTACTTCCTGAAGAGCAGTTTTTTGTCCAAATTAGAAGCGAAGAATGTGAGGAAGGTTGTCAGGTATCACGTATTCCCACGGCATTAATTAGCGGATAAACCGGCCGGTCGGTGATAAATCGTCATTCCCGATGACAGCTAATACGCTATTTTCTCTCACGAGCGCTTCCGCGTGTAACACCTCGATACTGTGTGTAATCGTGCGTGACTACCGCTCCACACAGACGGAACACGTAGAAGGAAATGGCCAATCAACGCGCGGACCTTCGTTTAGAACAACACGGTATATTTCCTTTTAACGTGTAGGAAACACGAAGCGACTATGAGTACAGTCCTTCGATTTTATCGAGAAAATTTCTTGGTCGTTTTGAAACTTGAAATCAAATTATCTCGATATCATAGCTGGTTAGCTTTGACAATTGAAGAAACTAGATAGAAGAGAGATGCGCTGAATTATCGAGAAAATGGCGTGTTAACTCGACTTTGGGTGAAAGCGTTGGGAAAACGCGTCGAAGATACACGCTGTTCGAACAAAGGCCAACGCCATTTCCAATTAGTCGAATGGCGATGCGAATCGATCGCAGACACAATCGCTTCCTCGTCCCGGCCTCGCCTCAAGAAAGTAACAATCATTTCCGAGCGATCTGTCTCGCACAAAGAGCTCGTTTCCATCGGAACGAGCCGCTTCTCGCATTCCTCTATCGCAAGGAGCATTAAAACACTCAGAGTGCCCTCGCCTAATCGGAGAATACTCCATTTTTCGCGAGTGCATTTCACAGTTTTTCTTTCGCTGACTTTTATTCAAGAACTCCTGCAAAGATATTGTAGGAAATGTAACATGGATTGGGGCAGAAGAATAAAACCTATTGAGATTCACAGTATTTTTAATCGTTTCCAGGAGAACATGATATACACGCACGTGTATACGTATGTAATAGAAATACAGAGGTAATAAGTAGGTATTTAGGTGAGAAAAGTGATTACGTTAATCTGGTGTTGTAGGCGAGGACACGATGCCAAGAAACCGAAGTTCCTTGACGAAGTTCGAGGCCCTGATGGTGCTAAGTTTAACGGTGCTCGTTCAACTAGACGTCTGCTGGTGCACGCCGTCCCATAGAAGTAGACATCACGCGGACATGTCCCACGAGGACGCGAAGAATTTCCGAACGAGTGAAGAGCTGCCGAGACCAGCCGCTCTCAATTCGAACGACGATCCGCTGGTGGTTCAGACCAGGAAGGGCAAGGTCAAGGGCAAAACCATGACTGCCACCACGGGGAAGGACGTTGACGCCTGGTTCGGGATCCCTTATGCGCAGAAACCCCTAGGTAGGTTCGACCTATACACGATCTAGCGGTTTCGGGATCTCGGTTATTAACCTTTCGTTTAAGCGGCAATCTATTCTCAGAATTGTTCTCCATATTCTGGGAACCTCCTCCTAATCCATCTTCTCATCTTTGAATAAAGCCTTCTCCACCCCTTCCCTTCGAATAGGTAATACTTATACTTTCGAACGTTCTCCGGCCAAGTCGCAGATCAGCAATTCCGCTTCGATCAGAAATCCTTCGACTCCATTTGTTATTACCCACTTCGCAAGAACCAAGTGGTAGTTTGATTTTTCGGCCAATTGCTGCTCCGTAGTCTGAAAGAAGAAGCATGGTTCGGGAAGAGAGGATTGACGAACGGTGGAGAGACGAACGGGACGGGATTCTGTTGCAGGACCCCTGAGATTCCGGCATCCGAGGCCGGCGGAACGGTGGTCGGGGATCCTAAACGCCACTACGCTGCCAAATAGCTGCGTGCAGATTCTGGACACGGTGTTCGGCGACTTCCCAGGTGCGACTATGTGGAATCCGAACACGCCGCTCAGCGAGGATTGCCTTTACGTGAACGTGGTCGCGCCACGGCCTAGGCCTACCAATGCCGCTGTTATGGTATGGATATTCGGTGGTGAGTTCCAGCTGACACCTGTTCCACATCCGTAGATTAGAGACTGCCCGCGGGAAAATTCGAGCACACAGCCTGGGCCAACGTTCTTTTACAGGTGGTCGCTTCTTACACCGAGAAACGCTTATTTTCGACCCGTGAATCCGGTTATTTTAAGCCTGGCTTAATCTTATTATTCCATTTGGTAAATTGTCGCGAAACAAGCGTTCCTCGAGCAGAAGCTAAATGTTCCGAGAGAGAGAAAAAGGTTGAAAGAAAGAGTTTGCGAAGAGTGTACCTACCGAGTGCAAAGGCACCAGTTGAACGCTCCACTGGTTCCAATTGTATGTGTGTATGTACATGTGTGTGTGAAAAGCAGAGGTGGTATCATTCGAGAGATGGAATCGCGCGCAATCCTTGTAGGTGGCTTTTACTCCGGATCGGCGACCCTCGACGTTTACGATCACAAAACCCTGGTGTCCGAGGAGAACGTGATTCTGGTCTCGATGCAGTATCGAGTCGCCAGCCTGGGTTTCCTCTACTTCGGAACGTCGGATGTTCCTGGGAACGCCGGTCTGTTCGATCAGATGATGGCCCTTCAGTGGGTCCGCGACAATATCGCTGCCTTTGGCGGAAATCCTGACAACGTGACCCTGTTCGGAGAGAGCGCGGGCGCCGTTTCCGTTTCTATGCACCTCCTTTCGCCTCTGTCAAGGTGCATACCTTTTCTCCTTGTCACTTTACGCTCTATTCTCTTTTCTTTCCATTTCTTTTCTTTTCTTTTCTTTTTTGTCTTTTGTTTCTTGCTTGCCGCTAACCATGACTACTGTTACTAGTCGACGTTACGCGATATACATACATACATACGCACATAGTCAGTCGGTTGGAGATCACCACCTAGGATAACTTCGCTCGCAAACATCCAATTGATCCAATCCAATGAACGGGGATATACGTAATATCAAAGGAGGTGATCTCAAACTTAGGACCTTTGGATCAATGGCTGCTTCGATGCTCCACGCGACCAAACAATTTTCTAAATAGAAGCACCGCCGTTTTTTCTCTTCGTTTCAGGCATCTGTTCAGCCAAGCGATCATGCAGTCAGGCTCCCCAACTGCACCCTGGGCTATCATCTCTCGCGAAGAATCAATCGTGCGCGGCATTAGACTGGCGGAAGCCGTCGGTTGTCCGCACGATCGCTATAACCTGCAAGATGTGATCGATTGTCTGCTGGTGAAGGACCCTATCGAACTGGTGACGAACGAATGGGGCACCCTGGGTATCTGCGAGTTCCCTTTCGTACCCGTGATTGATGGCGCCTTCCTCGATGAGACGCCACAACGCTCGCTGGCCACATCTTCCTTCAAGAAGGCCAATATCATGATGGGCTCGAACACCGAGGAAGGTTTCTACTTTATTATTTACTATCTGACCGAATTATTTCGCATCGACGGCACCGAGGATGTGAAGGTCAGCAGGGAGCAGTTCGTTAGCGCCGTTTCCGAGCTGAATCCGTACGTCAATCAGATCGGGAGGCACGCGATTATCTACGAGTACACCGACTGGCTGCATCCAGACGATCCCCACGTGAATCGCGACGCCCTGGACAAAATTGTCGGCGACTACCAATTCACGTGCAACGTGAACGAATTCGCTGGCCGATACGCTGACACGGGGAACACTGTTTACATGTACTATTACAAACACAGGTGAGATCGTTAGAAGTAGTACAAAGCACTAAGAATAAGAACGTGTAATCTTTTTCTCCTTTATCCCTTTCTTCTTCTTCTTCTTTTTTTTCTAAAATTTCTGTAGATCCGCGAACAATCCATGGCCAAGATGGACAGGCGTGATGCATGCAGACGAGATCAGCTACATCTTTGGTGAGCCCCTGGACCCCACGAAAGGGTACTCGACCGAGGAAGTGCATTTGTCGAAGAGGATGATGAGATACTGGGCAAATTTTGCGAAAACAGGGTAAGTCAAGGAGTGTGACTCCCTTCTCTTCTCACTTCTATTCATTGTAACAATGTGAAAAGAACGATAAAGGATTGTCCGTATGCTAGGGACCCGAATGTCGGCGACGAGTCATGGACACAGGCTTATTGGCCACCGCACACTGCCGTGAAGAAAGAGTACCTGACGCTGGACACTAACAGTTCCGAGGTCGGGAACGGGCCTAGGGTTAGGCAGTGCACTTTTTGGAAGAAGTACCTTCCGCAACTCCTCGCCGCGACATGTAAGTACAATTTCAATCTTCGTTTCTTTTTCACCGCGAATTTACCCTTATTTTATTTCTTTTCTCCCTCGGTTTCTTTCAAAAATGGCCCTTCCGTTTAAATTGAACATCGTCGGTTCTAACAGCCACAATCTTAACGGGCGGTTCACCGTTTACAGCCCTCCGATCGCACTTGGATTGTCTTCTATGACACCTGTTGAATGGAAAATACGTTTCATTAACCGCAAGGCGGTCTCGCGCGAGACCCAGCGGCAAAAGCAAATCAATCGGCCCGATTACTTTTGCCGGTTCGACAATTTTAATCGAACAGGCCACGTTATCAAACTCTGAACACGAATCGTTCCCAATTAAACTTCCGGGACACGAGGTGTCCACAAGCTCTCTCGTATACCTATTTATCGTCGAGGCGGTTCACGGGGGAATCAAAGGAAGGCGCGGATGTGGAAGAGCTGTAATTCCTCGGGAATCGGGAGTCTATGGGAAAAAGAGGATCAGGAGACACAGGCGTGTCTGGTTTCCGAAAGGGGGACAAACGCGCGGTGACTTCATCTCTGCCCAGAAAACCTGTCTTCTCGTTTACCAATTTCAGGTTAGCTGCTCATTGGTCCAATGAGAAAGACGCTCGAGAATCACCAATAAACTTTTCCCAATGTTTTCTTTAACTTCTCTCTCTCTCTCTCTCTCTCTCTCTCTCTCTCTCTCCCTGATTCTCTCCACCCGTGGCTGTCTGCCCCTGAACGCAGAAATACGTTTCTGTCTTGGAGAGTGAGAAGCAAGCATCGAGTCTCCCAATTTTATAATTTACGTTCTGCCGATACACGAGCAATTTAAAGTAAAATAAAATGGTAGGCGAAAAGTGATGAATTATTGGGTTATTTGTCGCATCCATCGTGAATGAAAACAACGAACGGTTGCAGCAGCGAGGTCGGCCAGAAGCGAGCAGGAATTAACGCGGCAACCAGATGCATAATACAACCACGCAATTTCTGCTCTACATAGAGGAACTGGCGACCACGTTCCGCTCCGACCAATATTAAACGGGACCAAGAGGTACATGATTGTTGAGAGTAGCGTAAATATTTTTGCTCAAATTGAAAAAACACTGAAACAAAACGACGTTAAGCGGTGATGTTTTTTTTTTTTACTTTGGACCTACTTTCGAGCAATTCTTTTGGAACAATTCGTTTCCAATGTAGATACATACTGCTATATTTCTCGTGGAGTAAAATGACGGAAAGAGGTAGACGTGGGGAGCAAGAACGAAAAGTATGATTTGAATATTGGAAATTGCTCTCTTGGCAGTTTTTCCGCGATCAAATTATTCCATCCCAATTACGTTATTATAGGCGAGTGGAATTTAATAGAGAGACGATATTCGTGGTTTCCTGACGGTGGGTCTGGCCTCGTGCCATTCCACGAAATACCATCCGATGCCTGAGAAAACTTAATCGGCTTTCTTCGGACTTGATTCGTCCATTATGCAGATCCGATTATTGGTCACGATCGCCACCGGTTGTCGCAGCGAATAAAACGGCTCAACGACTCGCGCTTTTATCCGTTCGCCAGTGGACGCCGGGTCACCCGTGACCCATACGTTAGCTCTGTTTTGTTAAAGCGTACAGCTCGGGAAATCTTGTAACCTGAGCGTCGCCTTCCCCTCCTAGCCATTAGCGATAAAAAAAAAACTGGTGTGCATACGAAGAAACAGTTTGTAGTCAGTATTCAGTGTAGCAGTGATCCGGCAAAGTGAACAGCAAAAAGTTTTTCCTATACGTTTCAGTAAAAGAGTTACATATACTTGATGTTTATTAAGAATAAACAATTGGTAAACCAACGTTACGTATTCACAGAGTTTTTAGACTCTGACAATCACAATGATATTCGTTTCTTTTTATTTTTGTGTATATACATACATTTATATAACATCTATAACGTTCTTTTTATTTTAAACTTATTGTGTGTTATTACCCGTTTTTGGTTAGAAATAGGTAATGAATAAATAAACATAGTAAAATTTTTGTGTAAAAATTAGTTTTGAAGAACGTATCATGAAGAATTTACTACGGGTCAGAATTGACCCGGCGTCCGCCTTGCACACGGTTGTCTCGATGTCCACCTTCCGAGAGTTAAATATCTCAAAAAGCCTGTTCTCTTTCTTTCAACGTAATTGCATTTTTCTCTTTTTCTTTTCTTTGTCCGCTAATGTAGCCCAAAAATGTGGTCTCCTTCAGTACGAAATCAAAGAAACGACATGTTCTGTCGTTAAGTGGGTGAACACGGGACATTTGACACAACCTCCGAATAAATGATGCAAATTCGAGAGCGAACGACGTTAGCTGTGCAATACCATGGGTGAATTTTCCGATTCGTCGTGGCAATCGAGACAAAAGTAGAGACGCTCCGAGCCCATTACGACGTCCATTCATGGCGTTCGACGCTACGCGAACCCTCCGAGCAACCTAGTTATTTAACGATTAATTCCGACTGATTAACCGATCGAGTTTTAGTTAAACCTACGAGAGCAACTGGGACGACGGAGGGGGGGGGAGGGTGGTTCTCTCCTTCGGGAAGCAATTTCGCATCCCATTGACTCTGAGTGGTGGTGGGCTATTAATCGAGAGTGCTTAGCTCGCGTGCAGCTTGCCTTCGAGAAAGTTGGATTGCGCGGAGAAGAAATGGCAGTCGGCCAACCGATTTAAATATCTATTCAAAGAATATAATCTCGGCCCATTTCGTCTTTGATCCCACAACACTGTGCAGCGGAAGAAAAATTACGGGAGTGTGGAGTCGAGCCAATTTTTATTGGCACTGAGAGGCACAGAACGTCTGGGTTATATCTGCGTTTCGTCAACGTCACAGCTGTAGTATGTATTCATTAGTTTAATGGCTGTACGATCGGTCGGAAGCCCCTTCGTTCGGTCACAGTACCGAGAAGAAACGTAAATAGAAAAGGATTTCCTCTTTCGACGACGATGACGACGACGACAGTTCAGCAAGATGGAAAATGAAATTCCAACCGCAGAGCTGGAGGACAAACGGGGGAAATATATACAGAAATTTCAAGGATAAGAATGCCGTGTTGCTTTGAATGAAGAAACGACGAGTGCCATGAATTTATTTCGCAAATACACGATTTCAAATCAAATCAGGAGTTGTACATCCCTAGAGACGGAATCGACGATTTCGGGTCAAAGATCTGAATGGGATCGTGTAGAATAAAGAGGACGAGAAAAAAAACCAGGGACATGCATGCAGCTACCGTCCATGGAGGGGATGATATAATGGCGTGGCGTGGTGAAATAAAAACGGCGATGCAGCGGAAAATTGCTATCGTGGAGCGCCGTTTCTTCTTCCGGACACCCTTCCCACGTCGATTTCTTCTCTTTTCCTCCCCTTCGAATAATATCCATTGTGCCTAGAGCAAGTATCTCGATCTCTTTTACCGGAACCATCAAAGCTCTCTAGTTGTAAAGCGACGTATTATTGCGTTCGGTGTCGGTAGACTTACGTACATAACCACCTGACGTATTCCTCCCTTCCAACGTGACAACGTAATTGAACGTAAACATCGCGCTTTAAGATTATCGCGTGTTTGACATCTTGGGACGTTTAGCAGACTCAGCACTTCCATGGCAAACTCATGAAAGCTCGCATGTCTAGTGGCTGCTTGATCGATAGCTACCTCGTTCATCTTTCCAGCTGGCAGGTATCCCGACGAAAAAATATCACACAGATCAATTTCACCGGAGCGTTGAAAACGATCGATCCGAATGGGAAAAAGAGAGAGAAGGATTTCGCTTAGAGCAGGTGTCTTGCTTGGAGAAATTAGGATTAGTAGAGGTAAATAAAAGGTAGTGGCGCATATGCGGTAGATGCGATTCGCTTTGGTCTAGCGGATCGAGTACTCGAAATAGAGCAACGCGACGTCGCAGCATTGCTTTATAATTACGCCGGTGGGCTTCGAAAGGTTAACCGCATGCCGCGCCGGCGAAGGTAGACAGCACGAGGACGTGTCGTTGTCACGAGCACTAATGACTCGTTTACACGGTGGACCATTGACGTAACCGCAGATACACCCTGCTCGTATTTTCCCTTCCTCGAGTAACCAGGAATTTATCGACGAATTCTCGACAAGCCTGGCGAAATTTTCTACTGACAGCCATGTTCCTGACCGTTTCTCAACGGAGATTTATGGCTTCGTCGAATGAAACGGCGGCGGAGAGTTTTTAGGCGAACAGAGCACGGCGGTGCAACGAGAGCAGTGCGGATAAGAGCCGACGATGGTGTCATTTTCATCATGATCGTTATTATCATGATCACTAACTCGCCGAATCTCGAGCCATTGGCGTAACGCTGTGTCGCAATACCGTGAGACCGATTCGGTGACGTCACGCGGTGAAATGAACGCTTGCTTGCGTCGGACGTGCTCCTATAACGCGTAATCTATGCGGCAGAATTGCCGTTGACACGGCGCCAACCTGGAATCCGTTTCGAAATACTGCCGGGTGGCTCGACTGACTGCGATTATACAGCGCCATCGCGGCTATCTCTCCCTAACGATACCTCATAAAACTGTATTTATGCCGCAGCTCGCTTTGAGCTTAATTCAAAACCCTGTCCTCCCACGTCTAGCTTCGACGTTCGATCGAACACCTATGATACCGTTCGATAATAACGATGTCCTTAGCGTGAACTAAGATACAGTGCACGAGCGAACAATCTCGCTGAGTTAACTCAAGCGGAACAAATCGAGAGAGAGAGAGAGAGATTTTTCCCAGCGATTCGTAACAAGTTGTTTGCTGGATTTGTTTCAAAGTTTCGCCCGAAACTTTGAAATCGCTTCACGGACACAACAACCCCTGCTTGCGGTCCCAAGCAGTGGTTACAGAAATGCGGTTCCATTAAGAACTGTGGACGCTTAAAGCAATGATTCGCCAACTTGCACCTTTCGAACTTTAGAATGACAGCTTCCCATTTTCCGTGATCCGTGGAACGAAAATGCGGAGACTGCGGAAAATCGGGAGAGAGATAAAGAGCAGAGGAAAGCAGCTGCTGGCAATCAATCAAACAAAATCCATGTCAAGGGATATACTTGTGTGTGTGTCAGTCCCGCGCTAACTGGGGAGTCTGTGAACAGTTACGCACCCACTTTAATTAAACTTTGCAGGTAGATTGAGGCAAGATAAAAAAAAAAAACAATTTCACCTAGAGTTGAATAGATTTTGATTGGTTGCGGCTTTTCGGAGTGACTATCCTTCAACTTTACTGCAGAAGCAACATGCTTAGAGTGCTCCGAATACCTATTATTTTTGATTTTTCTTCGGAAAATTCTGCTTCCATTAAAACAGGACATTAATATTCTTTTGCACAAACGTCGAATGTTTCAGCAGGCAGCACCAGCTAATACGTTATCCAACAGATGGATGGCAATTAGTTACTGTACATAGAAGGAGAGGGAGAGAGCTTGATCACAGGAACAGTGATACACAAAGCCTCTCTAAACATACTGATTGATTGTCTGTCGCCACGACGAAGCGGAAACAAAACGGAATGGTAATGGTTACCGTTCGCGATCGTGCGGTATTATTATTGACTCTGGACTATCGATGCGCGAATTCTCTCAGGGAAATTACCTTTCGAAAATGCGTACACAATTTCTATCGAGCTTAATATTTCTCAAAACGTCCTAATCGTGATTATCCACAGCGTTGCGAGGTTCCTTCGCGAAAGTCGCTTCTCTTTCAACTAATACTCACGAAACGCAATCTGTGACGCAGTTTCTTTCCGGTGAAGTAATTAAACGAAAATATGTCGCGAAAGAGTTATAGGAGATAACTCTCGTTTCATTACAGTTTCTCCTTCCAGTTGGCCGAAAACTTTTCCAATCGGTCGCGACATCGAAAATACTACTGGGTATACTTCCGTGTCCAACTGTCCACTTCCCGTTAGTTGACATTTTCTGCTCGCGTCTCGATCCGCTTCAGCACTTATTGCTTTTCTTTCATTATACCAACGACATTACAGTTACAAAGAGACAAATTGAACCACGTGCGGCGTATTATCTTTTATTACGTTCCTCTTCAGGGCTGTTCTTCCTATACACCGAAACGAAACTTTGGTAATATCTGGTAGAGAACTGCGACCTTGTTAAGCCCGTCCGCAAAACGGCAACGCGGAGACGTAAAAGGACTAACGAAATAGGACCTCTCGTTATAGCAAGTTCCACGGTGTTCCGTCGATCCTGCGATAACTCGTATTCCTTATTATCCTTTGACGTTACTCGGAATCGTCTCTATCTCTTGCTCTAATTGCGAAAAATGGAAGAAAAAAGAAATCAAAAGTGAATCTAAAATAGAAGAAGAGAAGGAAATAGGAGGGTATAGTCGGAAAAATTGCCAGGCACGTAAAGTAAAAGAAGAGGAACGAGGGGAGAAGAGAGGGCAAGTTTGATCGCGCCTCGAAAACAAAACAGTGATAAAGTCGGTGGGGCAACGGAGGGGCGGCTGCCTCGACGAGGAGTAGGGATTTTGATCGCGGCACCCCGGAACGAAACGAACGGACGAGCAGGGCAAACGGTGGTGCGGGGGTGGAGAACTGGCCGCTCTCGGCAAGGTGGATCGATGCCGCCGCGGCACGTCTGTGCGCGCAAACGTGCGCACGTGTGCGTGCACCTGTACACGTGTACCGACGCGCCGCGCCGAGATGCGTGGACGCATTAATCAACCTTTTGTCTCCGCTCTCTTCCCCTGACTGTTTATCTCTCGTCGATTATCATTCCGGGAAAAATCCTCGAGGGAGAGAGAGAGAGGGGGGGGGGAGAGAGAGAGAGACGGGGAAGTTAATTTTCCAAAGTTTCACGAGATCGAATAACGAGCTATGTGTATACGTATAGCAGACTAGGAACATCGTGGTACATGGCATCGTTTAGTGCCGCGAATGTACAAAGCCCGTGGAGAAAGTTTGCAAACAGCAGTTATTTACAATTAGAACAATGACGGGACGGTGTCGTTTCCCTTTGAGCATCAGAGTGGTATCGAGCCACTTTATCCTCGAGTCGAGTCACGACGCGCAATTTGTCAGTAAGTTTAGCGCTTTCGCGAATTTCCACGATCGCCGTTTGCCGTTTCTGCACTTCCCCTCTTAGCAGTTACCAATAGAAAATGATCGATTTACTTGTTGCATTAATTCGGGTACTCCTCTGCGAAGATTGCCGAGGCGTCTAAACAAATCGAGACACTAAAAGATAGCAGAGGTCCCAAGAATCCATTGGGCAAAGATCGTATTAATTAGTTGGCGAGTGATACGAATGAGAGCCGCGGTCGCAATCCCGATTATTTTCTCCGCTTTTAATTGAATCTCCCTGGTTGCGATCGGCGGCGGTGTGCCGGCGGGGTTTCGCGCGACGGACGCTACGCTCATTCTGCACAAAGCTAAATGAATTCTTTGTTGCCCGTAATCCACGTCATCGAGGCACGCTCTCCTGCACGAATAATTCGCCCTCTCAGCCGCCTCTCCCGGTCGTCGAACGACCAGGACTTCTCTTTTATTACTTTCATATTCGCCCGATTAATGCGGCTATATCGTCAAAGGAACGAGTTCCGTGCCGCTTGTCTCCTGTCTGCTTCAATGTTTCCCATTGACCGCGGACGCTTTATGAAACATCCTCTCCTCACGGTTATCCGCGAAGTAAGGAGCATTAATCTTTTTCGTGTTCCGATTAATTCAAGCATGGATTTAACTTATCCTCGAGAAAAGATGGTGGGAGGGAGGGGGAGATAGAGAGAGAGAGAGAGAGAGAGATTTAAGAGAGACTGTGGTTATTTTCTGTTGCAGCGAAACTAGAAATTGCTTCAAAAGAAACGTGCAGCGGCACAAGCATTGCTGAAGAAGGGCGGCTGCTGCTGGTGAGCTTGTTGCTGATCGGCACCCTGTTCAGCCAGAACCTGGTCGCGTTTCATCTTGGGGCGAACGGGCTAGCACAGATACTCACAGAGGGCAGAGGCTTCGTTTAGCTTCCGCGACCACCTCTCTGGACCGTTTTCGATCGTCGAGAAGGCAAAGGTCCGCCGTGGCGGCCGACGGAACGCGAGCATAGACCGGCAGAAGGATCGACGATCTTCTAAAGGGTGATAACTTCTAAATGGTATCGCTGAACACGAGACAACCAGCGAAACAAACATATCAATGCACCAGGGGCCGCTCGATCAGCCGATCGAGTCTCTGCTTCGGTAGTGAGAGAGAGAGAGTATCATTTCCCTCTGAGAGAGGAGGGTAGAAATTTTACGCTGATAAACGAAGGACTCGAAGATTTCCTTGGATCGATGTGTCGCCACTACCTTCACGACCACACCTCTACTACCGCCACCATCACCAGCAACAACCACCAGCATCATTGTACTCTTCACTTCTTTTCGTTTTGGCCTTTCTAGACTGCGAACGACCAACTCCTCGCAATTCGATAACGCGGCTATACTTAGCGTTACTGGCGGAGTCTAGATACCTCGATGAAGAAAGAAACAACGAGATGATTGATGGTAGAAGAGAGCAACATAGCCTTCTTGAGACAAGTAAGACGCCTCTAAGAACACGAACATCATAACACATCGGTTACTAGTGGTCCGTCGTCGTAAACCGTCTGACCTACTCCAACCGTGACTACTCACGCAACCAACGTGAAACCATCGTCGTACTCTACTTTCCTCCTCCTCCTCCTCCTCCTCGTTTACTATTTCACTTATCGCAAACCTACCATCTCCTCTCCTCTCCTCCAATTCAAACAGATCGTTCCACGGGGATAAACCGAAGCTTTCTAAAATACAGCTTTCCCAATTATCGATCGCACGCTTAATACACAGCACAGAGGGGAATTGTCGGCGATTAATTCGATCGAAATCGCATCCTGTTCCTCGCTATCGACGTCGAAATGAGGATGATACTCTCTGCGTGTACGCGTTCACCCGGAGAGTCCTAGCTTTTTATTAACGACAATATGGGTCACTGCATCGGAGCTTTTATTTCACGAGCGGGATATCACCGTCGACCTGGACGTGGATCGCGGAACCCGCTCCCCCCCCCCAGACGATACCTACTACCGGACAGGATAATTCCCGCTCAGCCGGAAAATTTGATCGAACGAACGCCGTGGCCATTATCCTTGCTCTGCATTCGTTACCCTTTATTTCCACCATTATCCAGTCAGCCCCTACTCGTTTCGGCACTCGGCCAATGCATTCGTACATGCACCGCGGTGACGGGACGACGACGCGCCTGACCATCCGAGTTTTTCACTCGTTTCACTCGTTGTTTTGAGTCAAATCCCGCCGGGGCTGGTTATGTACACACAGGAACGGTAATGCGAGCCGCAATTCGATCTATATGCTCTACGGCCGCCTATACGTGCGCATGTTTGTAATGCGGTGCAACCACTGCAGAGTCGATTCCATTTGTACAAATTCTGGAGACTTAAACGCCCCGAGGAGTACTCAGCTATCCTGGACGATTCGTATCCGGTATTTTCGTTGCGGTCCTCGTCGATGCGTACAATCGGCAACGTCCTATTCACCCGCCCTTTTTTCTTTTCCTTTTCTCTATTTTTATTTCTCCTTTCGTTTATTTGTTCCTAACGAGAGACATACCGTTCAACCTTCATTTCCCTCCATATGTATATCGTTACATTGACAGAAATCAAACCTGTCTTCCATCTCGAATTCCCGTAGAATTGCAAATTGCGTTCAGACGGCTACTGATTTGTGTCCTGGACAAGCTAATCGTTAATCGCCAAGCACACGATAGTGAATTCATTATTATTACAAGTGTATAAGCGTTAAATTCATTTCATTGTTGAAACGTGAAAGATGTTGGTGATAAAGCTGTACACGAGTGCTCGACAAGGAGAAGGGATTGAAGGAATTGAATTTCGTTCATTTTACCGCGATGGTCGTTCATAAGAAGACAAAGAGAATTTTGGAGCAGTAAAATTTTATGACGTAAACTCGTTCTGACTGCGGTACACGCGGGCCTCGCGTGGATCGAAATTAAACGACCGCCAGGATGCGTTCAGGTGCGCTCGCGCCGCATCGGACGGTGCATTCCTACCTGCATCCCATGCGCTCTATTTTCCTCGCGGCTCCGCCATCGATTTTACACCAGAATACGCTTCTATTCTTCCAGCTCGGCTGTGGCCTGAAGGTCGCACCACCACGCCATTCCAACCACATGACTCGTCTCTGTCTCGAAACTCGTCTTCCCCGCTTTTTTTTTTACCATTTCCCTAGAGTCCTAGATATCGTGCCGCGTTCAATACCGATTTCACGCTTTGTACTTTTTACTGGCCAGCAGCTAATTTCAAGCAATCCTATACTTTCGTATTTAACAAAAAACTATCGCCATTTCTGTCGAGCCAAATATGAAATAGTGTTAAAAGCAAACGCGGAATCGTGATCCCCTCTTCCAGGAAACGACCACGACGATCGTGTTCACCTTTCATTCTCCGTATCGAGATCGAGATCTTCCAAACGTTGGTCGAAAACGCAGTTTCCTTAGGGGGTTAAATCGCGAAGAAGGGACACGTGACTTCGGCGGAATAGACTCCGTCAGAACGTGTACAAGATCCGCAGAACTGCGTGTTCGAAGGGCGAACAAAAGCTCGTTCCAGAATCGAAAGAGAAGAATCCGCCGAACGAACGTAATCGAGAAGCAAAGCGCGAATAATTCAAAGAGGAGGAGAAAAGCAAGTAAAACGAGTCTTCTTATCGTTTCGTCCTTCTCCCTGTTCCTCGTGAAGATAGTAAGGAGGAGAAAGGAGGCGCTAAGGTTAGCCGCTGATTATTTATAATAACTATTACCGTAAGTAGAAAGACATACCATGCGCGTACACGTACACGTGTATACTATCTGTGTGTACATAAGATATTACGATATTTCACCAAGTGTGCGATATACACATACAGGCATATGCATGTATAATGCGTTATCGATAAATGCAAGAATCAACGGATCGCACTCCCTTTCTTCTTCCTCGTCATCTTCTTAAGATCGACAATTTTGATCGAAAGAAAGAAAGAAAGAAAGAAAGAGGCGTCTAATCAGTGTTCCCCCGAAATATAAATATAAGCTTTATAAAACAAGTTACTTATATGTACGAGAATTGCGAATGATAAGGAGAGACTTCCAATCGGCCAAATCGTCTTTCCTATCCTCTTTTTCTCTTTCAGGTCGACAGGAAACGCCTTTCTCATCCCTTTCAAACCAGACCGTATCCCTGGCGCTTTGCCAGTACCGCCGTTTCTTGCTTAGCTTTTTATCTGGATCGAGCAACTTACTCTCGCTGGCTTCTTCTTTACCCTTTCAACTACTTCTTCTTTTCTTTTTTCTCCTCCTTTGTTTTCTTTTCTCGTTTGCCTGTCGTCAGACACTCCAAGGATGAAATATAATTTTCGCTTTGCTTCTACGTTTACGAGAATTGGTCCATTAATTAACGAGCATCGATGAGTGGAAGAGAGAGAGAGAGATTCTCAGAGAAATGAAAAAAAGAGCGAATGTTGGAACAAGTGAACGAACGTTTGATTCTCGAGCTAACGAAAATGCATTTCTTTATTAGCGTAAACATAAAGTGAAAAGCCAAAAAAAGAAAAATCAAAAGTGACAGAGAGACACACTTTGTTCGCCTATTCGTAGACGAAGATGCAAATTTCGCTGTTTTTTCGTGTCGAGAACGGATACCGTAATTCGGTTGCTCTAATTTTAGGTTTAACGGAGCAAAAAGTGTGCAAGGCGAATGATTTAGTTGAATTTAGAGTTTACAGCTCGTCGAAACGGGTTTTTTGATTAAGTGTACAATATTATGTAAATATATAACGGTAAGAACCGAAGAGTGTAGCGCGTCATGTTCGAAGCGACGTTAAAACAGAATATTATTTAAAAGAGAAGAGTAATAACCGCTGGACGCGTAGGTTTCCTCGATTAACGCCAGCTAGCAAGCTTACAGAGAATAATAATTCATACGGAAGTACGCGCGTATACGGGTACGTGTGTCCACCTTACCGCGTTAAACTCACTGCGATGATAAACTCAATGCATTATGTATAATGTTATTATACATACTTTACATACGTATATATACATATACATAAGTACGTGCATATACATATGTAGCATGTATAGAGATAATTTAGGGACGTCGTCGTACATGTTTGTACATACTTTGTCACGCGCAACTATCACGGCTCACGAGGTTACTAAACGAAGTACCCGCAGAAGGTATCGACGCCATTTTTCCTCTTATCCTCCATACCCCCACCCTTCCAGAAGCGTTCACTTCGCCCTTCAGACGAACCGAGGAAAACAGGAAGAAAAATCCTTCGTACGTTTCACAAAGCAGAATTTATTTCATTATTTTCCGTTCGAATAAACTCTGAGTGGTATCGGGAGTAGTACTTACATATATGTATAGTACACGGCTGCGAGTCGAGAGAAACGTGGCTGCTCGAGGGAGATAAGGATGCCATTGCGAGAAACGAGACTCGGCCGGGGGAAAAGTAATTTGGTTGGAAGATGTTTCGTATATACATATATGTATATCACGCCTAATATTTCCGGATAGAGGCAACGTCCGTGAAATTGGGCCTCTGTTCAGGCGAATCAACGCGAGGGTTAAACATTTTTCAAGAACAAACCTTCTTTCTTCCTTCCTACCTTTCTATTTCTCTCGACTTTCGCTTCTCGAAGCATGTAGGATTTTTATCGAGAATGGTTTTTATTCGCGATTTCACTCGTTCGAATTTCACAATGAATCCTTTGGCAAATGACTGCTAAACTACGCTTAATCACTGATGATGGCGGTAACGGAGAAGAATTCAAACAAGCTGTTTCAACCGTCGCGTCGGCTGGAACATTTCCAGAAAGTTTCTTCGACCCCCTGATCGTGTTTTATTTCGTATCTTTGGAATTCCTCCCGTTCCGTTCGTCATCGTTTAATCTTCATTGGTGTTCGTTGCACACAACTCGCTTCGTCAAGAAGGGGGAACGCTTTGTGAAATAGTGGAAGGAGGTGATCTTGCGATCATGGCGCTGCAATGAAGAAAGATTAACGCGCGCAGTCTCCGTTTGCGATGATTCCTTCTGCAACTTTTGCCTATACATAACTACTATTCGATGAAAGACGATCGAAAACGATCGAGAGGTAATAATAATTGGTTCCGGTAGCCGGCAACCGGCAGCCGGCAGAAGTTTCAGAACGATTTATTAGAAAGAAGTCTGTACAAAGGACTCTAAACGATCTTCCACCGAGGCGCCAGGCGTCGAGGTGAATTCAAGCCAAAGGATTATAATTAACACTAAAGAAAAAAAGAAGAAAAGGGGGAAAAAAAAGAAAGA